ATTATCCGGTTGAATGGATTGGCTCCACTGTTGTAGATGATGACATTTTCGTTGCCTTCTCTCATCTGCCAAGCTTTTGGTATTTCGAATTCTGTATTGGATGGTTCAATTGGAATATTTTTGCGGCGTTGGTTTCTAATTGTTTTTGTCACGTGATCTTTATGGCCTACATTTGCTCTGTCTTCTTCATCTAACCCCGATAAAGCATCTGCATATATTTGGCTCGGTTTGGCCGTAGAAGATAGTATAGCAGTCTTTTTCATTTCATTCAAAACCTTCGCTTTTGCAATTTCTTCGGGTTCTGAAACATGGTTGTGTTCTTTCTGACACTTTATTTCAGTAATCTAATTATATAATTTAGTAAAGACAATATATATATATTGAAATGAATTTATATTTATATATCAGATTAACAAATAAAAAGATATATTGATTATTTACCTCAATGTTTGTTGAAATTGCTCCTAAACAGTTGAAAAATGTTTTTCTAGAGCATTGCCAACGAATCGTTGCTCCTCTACTCAATTTTTTTGTATACATATACCCTTCCAAACACAACTTCTGACCTCCTTTATTACTTTCAATAATTTCCATAGTAACAGAATAAAATAACGATTAAAATTTTTACAACTTTAAAGTCCATGCCAATAAACTTTTTATATGATATTAATACACAAAGAAACCTTGAAATAAAATTCTATTTTTTTTTAAAATTTAAATTACACTATTGATTAAATGCATGCGGATTGCTTTCTCATCATCAATCATCATTGATTGTTCTAAATTTACATGCCAATTTGCGCTAGAAAGAATGAGACCTTAGTATTAGCTGTGAAAAATAATGTTTGTACTGTATATATGCACACATGAATCTTGAGTCATAGATCAAAGCAGATTTGACAATTGTCAAAATTACACATGCATAATTAAAATTAACTTAAAAATTACTATTCCATACAGTAAACATTTATTTAGCTTTTTCTCATTGTTTGAGTCATTATTTATTTAAAAAGTTGTAACAAGTTTTGTAAGAAAAAATATTTATTTCTTTAATCGTTTATTTCTTAAATATATAAACAAAAGTAGATTTTTTTGTAAAAATAAAAGATTTTATTTTTAAAATCCAAACAGATTCTCAAAATCAAAAAATGGCTCAATATTCCATGTACAAATCACACCAAGGTGGAAACGTTCTTGCATACAATGGTCATGAATACCTTTACAAAAGGTCTAACCAAGATGGCTCTATTGTTTGGAGATGTCGAAAATATTTTTCATTAAAATGCCATGTTACGTTAACTACCAAAGGTCAACAAATTGTAAAACAACCTAACGATCATGAACATCCTGGTGATCCTTTGAATACTCAAAAGAATAAAGTCATGTCTGACATCAAAGATGCTGCAACTAGTTCAAATGTCTCGACGACTAGAAATGTCCTTGCAGAACAAATGAGAGGCCTGAATAAGGATGTTATGGCAAGATTGCCCCAAAAGAGCTCCATTGAAGGAACTATTAGAAGAGAGCGGAAGAAGAATAATTTTGATCAAAGAGAACCACAGTCTTCATCTTTTCCAATTCTTCAAGAATTTACTGATCTTGTTCTTTTAGATTCAGGAAAAAATGATAACAAACGAATTTTGGTGCTAGGCGATAGAGAAATGGTCAGATACCTTGATTCGTCTGAACTGTTTCTTGGTGATGGCACATTTAAATGTGTTCCTTCATTGTTTTTTCAACTTTATACAGTTCATGCAAAAGTTGGTAGTTCTTACCCTCCATGTCTTTATTTTCTTTTACCTGACAAAACAGAGGATACCTATGAACGAATGATTTAATATCTTAAGCAGCTTGCCCCCCTTGCCAATCCAAACCAAATATTACTGGATTTTGAGTTAGCTGCGATAAACGCTTTTAGGCATGAGTTTCCAAATGCACATATATCAGGATGTTTT